GGCCTACTCTTCCCAGTATGCATGTGCATTGGTGGAAACCCAGGAAGCACAGCACGGTGCAACTTGGGGACTGATGTGCAGAGGGGGAGTCAACAACATTTCCGTACACACAGTTAAGAGTGCATGCTTTAGAAGAAGTACAAGGATGTCAGACTCCTGATGAAATCAGTTCCCAACAACAGACATTCAATAGAATAAAAGTTTATTGAGACATTGATAGTATTCAGGCATCTTGACTTTACCGTGTTAGAACTGAGGGGAAAGCACACAAAGCAAATTTGAGGAAGACTCAATTTGAGGAAGACTGAATTTGAGGAAGACTCTGATGGCCCATGGCCAATCAGACCACAGGCAAAAGCCCACCAAAATAACGGGCCTTTATTCCCAAGAGAAAGAGGACACCAGGCATTCAAGGTTATACGGTCAGGCTAACACAGGCTGCAGTCACATGGAACATTAGCCACGCTACAGAGATGGAAGATAGGTGAATTTTCCGGGTGTGATTACACCGCAACATCTGGGAAGTGTAGAGCTCCCGTGGCGAACCCGAGGCTTCGTGCCGAAGATGCGGAGTTAAAAACTAGTACCTCCAAGGTACTAGTTTCCGGAAACCGCGGGGCAAGGGCTGGTATCTGATCGCGTTTCCAGTAGTGGCATCCGGCGCCCACCCATGTCCCTTCGCAAACAGGTATCCCCCCCCCAAGTCTCCACAAGATGCGCACAAGCACCCAACGGTGCATGTGCACAAAGAGGAAAGCAAAAGTGCCGTTTCGGCTTTAAAAAAAAATGACCCCATTTGTCACGGCAGTGGCACCTAGCCATTGCTTGTATGATCGCGCCACTTCTTTGCCGTGCTGCAGGATTGTCGTGTGATTGCCACCCTCGGTTACCTGCCGGCACCGAGAGAAGGACCTGTGGTGTGCTGCTGGCGTGTCGGATCGTGTAATCGCGGATCAAACTGCGCCGGAGCAATTAGTCATGCCTCCCCCCTGTGATATCCGGCCCATGTGACCGAGGCCATAGATAATAAGAGTACCAGAGAAACAGCAGAAACGAAAGTATACATTCCTCACTCCCCCCCACGTCTCCCTGACAACGAAGACCAGTCAGAGGCCACTTTGACAAAGCGGCAAAGAGGGGAGAGGATCCTGCCAATTTTAACTCAAGCTTCAGCCCTTCTTCTACATCCCACTCAGTTCCCTAGGGTTCTCTGACCCACAGGAACACTGCTTTGCAGGGTATGGGTGATTGCAGAACAAAAGGAACTCAATACATTCCATGAACCACATTTGTCCGTAGGATCCAATCCCTTGGCAGCTTTTAATTTCAGGGGAAGGACTGTTATCCCAGGATTGCAGCCATTAGATAACAACCCAGGAATAACAGTACCATAAACACTAGTTATGTAAATATCGCAATATTTAGACATTTTAATTAATGAATAATAGTTCAAAAATGAAGCTTCTGAGTGAATGTTAGAAATAGACATTCACTCACAAGCTTGATTTTTGAACTATTATACAGTAATTTCAAACAGCAGAAATATTTCAAACAGCTGAAATAACACTGAAAGAAGCACAATCGTTTGCACTGTCTGCATGCATCCCATGCCTGTCTCTGCTAAACAGTTCTGCAGAATTTTTACAGTAATACAAAAATGTACAGAACTTGCTTGACAAAGTGGGATCAAATAAATTAATGGTTACACCATAGCAAAGTTGTCTTAAAAACAATTACATGTATTATGACTGCAAATATTTTGGAATTTGCATTTCCATTTGCATCATTCACTCCTACCTTGGCAGGATATGATTGGAAGTCCACAGATTTAGAATAACGCACAAAATAACAGGCATCCAACACTAAAAAATTAAATGAAGCCTAATGGGATCTTACGAAGAGCACCCTGATCGGTCCTGAAGCTGTACAGGCTGCTAGATACTTGGACTAGTTTTGTACGTGGCATGCTTTATATATTCAAGCTAGCTGCATCAGTATTAGTGGCATGTCTCTTTTTCTGCAGACACTCCTCTACATGGGTTTCTGTGCAATATGCTTGTGACACTGGATAATCATTCGTTATATTTCTTTTGTCTTTTTCACTATATCATTGTCTTTCTAACTCCTGTTTTTAATTTAAATCAAGGTTGATATAGATTCAGCAAAATTATGAGGTAATGTCTTTCTAAGACTGTACCACTTCAGCAGGCGGGGGCTACATTTAGAAGAGGAAGAGGAGGAGGAGGATATTGGATTTATACTCTGCCCTTCACTCTGAGTCTCAGAGTGGCTTACAAACTCCTTTCCCTTCCCCTCCCCACAACAGACACTCTGTGAGGTAGGTGGGGCTGCTCTTTCAAGAACAGCTCTGAAAGAACTATGGCTTACCCAAGGTCATACAGCAGCTGGGGAATCAAACCTGGTTCTTCCAGATTAGAGTCTGCACACTTAATCACTACACCAAACTGGCTCTCAATGATAATATAATGATTCCCTCACAGCAAAACAAACATACCAGTCATGCACAGAGAAAACTAGCACATCATAAATATTATCAGGAGAGCAAACCTAAGCAAGTCTGCTCAGATCTGTTCAGATGGGCTTGGGTGTGCATACTAAGTGCTGTCAAGTCACTTCTGACTTATGGTGACCCTATGAATGAATGACCTTCAAAACATCCTATTGTTGACAGTCTTGCATAGGTCTTGCAGACTGAGGGCCCTCATGTGCTTCCTTGACTGAGTCAATCCATCTCATGTGGGGTCTTCCTCTTTTTCAGCTGCCTCCACTTTCCCCTAACATTATTGTGTTTTGTAACTCTTTTCTTCTCATAATGTGACCAAAAGTACAATAGCCTCCATTTAGTCATTTTAGCTTCTAGGGAGAGTTCAGGCTTGATTTGATCTAGAACCTACTTATTTGTCTTTATTGGCAGTCCACGGTATCTGTAAAACACTCCTCCAACACCACATCTCAAATGGATCAACTTTCTTCCTGTGTCATTTTTGTCTTCTTGATGTTCAGCTATGATCCTGCTTCGGAACTTTCTGCTTTAACCTTCCTCAACAGTTGTATCAAGCCTTCACTATTTGGCCTTACTAAGTTGGGCTTACTCCAAGGAAAATGTTCCTGGGACTTCACCGAAAGTCTGCTCTGTCACTCATCTGTTAATTTTCTACATAACATGAGAAAGCCTTAAAATGGGACCTCCCAAGTGCAGTCTGAAAGTCCAGGAAAGACTCTATGAATAAATCAACCCAAGTTTATGCAGCTTATTTCTGGGGAGCTTTAGAACTTTTAAAACTGTATTCTATGTGAGTACTGAAACAGAAGGTTCTCAAATGAGGGGAAAAAACACAAGCAAATTTTCAGATCCCCCCCAGCATGCTCATCATATTTTCTTCAAATGAAATAAGTGGGTTTCAGTTAAAAACAGTGCCATAGATGACACAGCACTTTTAACCTGTTTGTGTAAAAACACATCAGCATGATATTGAATTAAAAAGAAAAAGAAGAGCATTGCAAACAACGATTGCTTTTCAGTACCAAATAAAGTACAACACTGGCAAACTATGCAAACAACAGTATCTTTACTCAGTTTTAGTGTATCTGAGTTTATCAGACAGAAGATGCTCCTGGCAGATAGCATTCCAGGAGATGGCAGATGAAATTATCAAACTGACTGCATGTCAGCATGGTTCACAAAAACTACAACAGTGAATTAGTTACAGTTTGCAAGTATAATGATGCTGTTTAGTGAAGCGCTATCAACAGAGTTCTGTTACTTACTTTGCCTAATTTCACAGCACAACGCGCTAGTGTGCGTGCCTGAGACAGAGAGAACGGGAACTGGGAGTCGGGCCCTCAGGCGAAGCTTGCCAAAGCAGCTTGCTTGTGCTGCTGCTGTGAATCGAGCAAAGCTATCAGTGCAATTCCATCTCCTTCTAATCCAGCCTTTCAGGACTTTATTGGACAACAGCACAAGGGGGCTGACACAGGAAGAAAGGAAGGATGGCATGATATTAAAGGCCTCCCTGGCAGAGGCTTTAATGGCAACTCATATTGTAAAGATTAAAGCCATTGCACAGAACTGGTTCATAATATCCTCAAGGCAAAATGAGATTAGATTTGCAGCTCTCCTAGGTGTTAGGACCCCCATAGTTCGGCTGGACCATTTTAATCCACAAAGTCAGCTTTGATACAAACAAGTACTGCCTCATGGTTTATCACTTCCTACATGCCACCACAAAGGCCAAGGTAGCCAGTCAATGAGTATGCATGTGTGGGTTACATTAGTCATATTGCTGCTAGGTATAAGAGGATGGACTAAAATGGAAGTTCATATACAGAGCCTCCAACTCAAGGCCACCATGTCATTTAGACACAGGGAGCGGGTCCTGAAGGTGAACGGTACCTAACAAATCAGGGGATGGGCCTGGTGGAGTGGAGTGGAGCCTACAGATACACATGGCTGGTCATACGTAGATGTGACTAATACCTCAGTATGGATCCTATGAGCTTGCATTGGATGGGACACAGATCAAAGATAAAACATGACATCCCAAGGAGAAAATATCCAGCCCCTCCATTTTCTCTGTTGTGTGTGTAAAGTGCCATCAAGTTGCAGCCGATTTATGGTGATCCCATAGGGTTTTCAGGGCAAGTGATTAAGCAGAGCTGGTTTGCCATTACCTTCCTCTACAAAGTCTTCCTTAGTGATCTCCTATCCAAGTACTGACCTTGCTTAGCTTCTGAGATCTGACGAGATTGGGCTATACTACACCACTCCACATCCCCAATTCTTTCCTTTACCTTATGTCTAATATATATATATTTCTGGTCAGCTCCTAAGACTCAGCAATCCACTGAATGCATTAAGAATATAAAGCATTATTGATCTAAATATGTTTGAACCCAATAATGTTGACTTTTAACAGTGTTCACTGTAGACTAAGAAAAAATAAAAACAAATAATGTCATTAGCAGTTCATCACACTCACCATTTCGACTTTCTTCATCAATTGGAACTATGGTCGCTGGAGGCCCTGCCCTGGCCAACTTGCAGTCTACAAACATGAAAATACAAGTTACTTGGAATTCCTCAGAATTATCCATTTCTTAAAACGCTTAGTGATGGGCAGCTTTCCTTGCCTCAAAATGAATTCAGATTTTCTGAGCTTTCCCAAAGGATTCTTGAAAATTTCTTGATTCTCCCCCTTCCCCAAAAGTTTAGAAAAATAAAATTTGAAGGATGTGTGCCTCCAGTCCTGCCTACCAATCCCCCTCCCTTCAGACACAAATAAAATCCTTTGAACTCATGAAGGGGAAGGATAGTTGATACAAGGAGGGCTCCCTAGAGGAAATTGGGGCCTTCTCATTCTTAAGGGACCTGAGTGTTCCTAGGCATACTCAGGATCCCCCCCTTCCTTTTTAATTTATACCTCACTTTTCTCGCTAATGGTGACTCACAGCAACATGCATAATTCTCCCGCCTTCCATTTTATCCTCCCAGGAACAACAACACAGTGAGATGATTAGACTGAGAGTTGGGACTCAATCAAAGACTTTCAAGTGAGCTTCCATTGCAGAATGGGAATTGAAGCCTGGGGACCCCAGATGCTAGTATAACACTATGAACACTAAAAATATAATTTCCTGCTGGGGTTCATAGGATTTCTAGTTTCCTCTGCCACCTGGTCTGAATCACTAAATTGGGAGTCATAGGAAACTACAAAGGCCATTCTACCTCAGTAGGAAGTAATGCTTATGACATGCTCAGACAAGTTAAGAATGGGGTCTCACATGACTCCATTGAGCCTTTCCCACTGCTGGTTACTTCTCCTCTTTTACAAAAATAACAATGCTTGGGTGGGGTGGGGGAATTATCAGGGAGGATTTGCTGCAATGGTGCAATGAAGCCTGAATTAAAAAATTGGAGCTCAGATTATAATCTGGGCTGTAGTACAAAACTAAGAGCTAGGATTTGTATTGCAAACCACACTGGTTCTGAAAATATGTCATTAGTAGGAGTAATTGTGCTCTTGTATTTTTTAAACAAAGGCAAGCAAAGCTATCATATTTGTGATGGGTACCACCAAGTTCTAAAGAACTTACCCGGGGCTCACTTAAGCAAAGCCTTTGTGAAATAAGCTTTTCACATGTTATGTTTGCGGATGTCCAATGTAGTGGAAACAAATGCCACCTGCAATCCTCCTGATATATATGATCACCATTTTGTCTGAATTGGGCACCACATGCTGTTGTCCTATCTAGCTGAAATGATTACTGTACCTACCAGGAAGACGTTAGGTCATGTTTGTTCCCATTATGTGCAGTTGGATACTCCCAAAACATAACATCTGAAATAGGTTATACTGTGAGCGTTTTGCTCAGCAAGGGGCTTGACAGTTGGCTTTAACAACAACACATTTCAGGTACCAGTCTCTTGCTGAGTGTTGCTTTGCTAGGGTCTACTCGCTACACAAACATCAAGCCTTTGCCACATCACAACACAATACACTTCACGTGCTCTTCTTTAATCATGTCTTACACTAAACAGAGACCACTATGGAACAGGAGTCCTTCAGGACAGGGATAATGGGATGGAAAACAACCCAAAATAACAACATAAAAAATGATTAAAAGGAATAAATTGTAATTAAAGCTTCACAACAGAAACAAACATAATTGAAATTTAATTGCAACACAAGTCTCTAATTAGAGAGAGTGAACAGAATTTTAATAAAGTTCTAAACAGAGTAAAACTTAAAACAAAAACAGACAAGCAATTTTCAGGAAGTTGCAGTCTTACCCTCATATTGCCAGTCTGGAGGGAAGTTAAGAGTCATCAATGGAAGCAGAGCAGAATAATGAAAGAAAGTAAGTAAGATTTTTGTTGTGGTTCATAGTGATAGTTTTGAAGACACACAACAATACAAGCAGAATTTTTAACACATCTAGTTATTCACCACAATGCAAGAGAAGTTGCTTGGAAATAGCTTTGTGCACTTGGAGTGTGCAGCACTCCAGAGAGGCAGTGACAGATTATTATGCAATCATTCATTCAGATGCAGTAGGTTCTTGCACACACGCACACAGTGTTCCAACAAGTGCTGAGTTCTCCATTCACTTCAGCGGATGGGGCAACTGCTATAGAGTTCTCCTCCCCATGCCAGTACCGAATTAAATCAAGTATATTTGGAGTACATGCTTATTAAAAGGGTTCTATTCCCAGGAAAATGTTATTAGGACCACAGTCTTATCCGAGTGTCTGTGTATAAGTGCTGCAATACCTGCAGAGTTCTAGGACTATGTGGGCACTATTTCTAGCCTGATATTTATGACTGCATATGAAAAGGCCTTGTGAACAGCCAATAGCAGAAGTATGATATGACTTCGCTCCTGAACATCAAAAGTATACTGAGTAAACATTGCAAAATTTTAAACCCATTCACAGGATGTCACCAACATTAAACAAATTAGTGGGGGCTACAAATTTTCACATAGTTTTACGAGACTGACTAGCTGCTTTCACATGTCTGAACCCCAGATTAAACCATCCACATAAATATGCAAAAATATGCTTAACTTCCATTTAATGAGAAAAAGAAAATAATACTCTAAATGACAGAAGGAAGAATTCTGTCAGTCTTCAGACTCCCCACCCCCCCAAGCCCATGTGGACTACCTTATGGGGTCCAAAGTTTATATCAAAGCATCTTATGGTAAAAACATCAGTTACACAGCCTATGTTACACTTCTGGTTTACTGTTATATCTCACTAATGATGTGTTTAATAATCTAATAATCCCCAATGGGTGTAACCCACGCTGGTTCCACAGATCACTGGCTATCCTGTCATTATGTCATTCACTTCTTTCACTGTTCACACAGGAAACTCCAGGAGATGAATTATTACAATAGATCAATATCTACTAACATGGATTTAGTCACAGACCAGATTCATACGTTGCTGGAAATTGTGGTATTGTAATAATTCATCTCCTGGATTTGTCCACACCAGAGATTATAATACCACAACATCCACTACAGAGAAGAATTCATCACCCGTGCTTGGCTACTAGGCCATTAATATCACTGACACAGAATCTTATTCACCAAAAAGGTTAATTCCGTCTGTGGGTCTGACAAACGTCAACTCCCAAATGTCTAACAACAAGGTTGATAGATAAGGCTGCCAACCTCTAGGAAGAACTTAGAGATCTCCCAGAATTACAACTGATCTCCAGACTGCACAGATCAGTTTTCCTGAAGAAAATGGCTGCTTTGGTGGGTGGACTCCATGACACTATATTCCACAGAGGTCCCTCCTCCACCAAACCACAGTTCCCCAGGCTCCACCCCCAGATCTTCAGTCGTTTCCCAATACAGAGCTGGCAACCCTAGAGGCAGACAAGTTGCAAGGGAAGGCCCATAAGGCAAACAACTGGATTCATACTGGCTACTATTGTGAGGCAGGGTCACAGTCCTAAAATCTTTATACATGGCTGAAGGCAGATGACAGTAATCCTCTTAATTAAAACATAAGTGTGAAAAGAATAAAATCTTTCAACTCAGCCCCCCCACAAACCTGTCTCCTGGATACTGTTTGTACCAGCAAAGTAATTCAGTACATGCTACTCCTATATAGTCAGCATTTCACAACTTCACTTCTCATATACCTTGGAGAATTAAGTACATCTGTTTGAACAGTCTTCAGAAATATATACATGCATAACTGCTGTTACAGCCTTTAGACATGAATTGAATAAAATCCCATACGAGAGGCACTGTGCTCTCAAAAAACACAGTTTTTGAATTAGATTTTACAAGTCAGTAAGTAGTGGGTGGGGACGACATACCACCTGTGTGGAAAAGAGCTTTAGGAATGAGAGTTGAAAAATGTGTGTGTGTGTTTAAAGCACAGTTGTCACCTTCTGGTTTGTTTGCTTCTCATTTTTCTTTTTACAAGAAAGATGTCTATCTTTTGGTATTTCATTTTATATTTCACATTTGTATCCTATTCTTCCTCAGTGAGTTATGGAGGTATATATGGATTTATATTATTCCCTGGTGAATAATGACTTGCTCAAACCTAAAGTCAGTTTTGCAGTAAAGCCAGAAGTAGGATCTGGGGTATCCACATCCAATCAAACACCTTTATGGCTACAACATATTAGATCTTCCTCACTGCTTGCTGATGTGAAGACTTCTGATTAACAGTTTGCTAAAAAAGATTTGTAATGATCCAGAAGATGACAACTGTATAGTCTTTCCACTCTGCTAGGCTACTGGGCACTTTGCCATCTATGGAAAGGGAATACCTAAGGGCAGGGGTCATTTCACAGAAAAAGAGGTGCAGGAGCTCATTAGCATAACTCATTAGGATAACTTATTTGCATAAGTCACACACCCCAACGTCACCGGAAGTGTGTCAGAAGGCAACACCCACTGCTCCGGCTTCAGTGGACTGTTTTGGATTGCTAGCTATTGGGGAGGGGGAGAGTGCAGATCTGTCCTCGCAGAGGAGGGAGATCTTGGACCTGAATAAAACATGGTCTTAAAGGTGCCACTGGACTGTTTTGGGCTGGGGAGGGGGCTCTGCAGTTTACCTGGCTGCTTCTTGCTCACTGAGTGCTGCTGGGAGCAGGGGGTGGGGCTTGTTGCATGTGCCCGCCCACTGGGCTCTTTACTGCCGGAGCTCTGTTCCTGTGCGCTCCTGCAGGAAATGACCCCTGCCTAAGGGATGCATGAAGCGTGTGTAGATTTCCATTGAATTCAGCACCAGTACAGGCAGAGCTGCATCTGTTTATTGCCCGGTAGTCCATCCTATGAAAATAGACTAATCCTGTATCTACAACTGTTTCAGAAGTTGTAATAGCTAAAGGAGTCTTCAATATAAAATGTAGTATCTTCAATTTTAGTGAATATTTAGAAAATTCAGTTGCACCTTCTAGAGTTTTTTTATTTACAGATCAATAGCTTTTGTAGGCACAGCTGAATTTTCTTTACATTAGGTTCCCTAACAACTAAGATGGCCACTAGAACAGTGATTACATTATAACAG